GCTACCACTTAAAAACGCCATGCTATTTCGATGGCACCTTTACGCCCCTTATAACGGTTTTAGCCTGCATCTACGAAATTCCCAGCAGAAGCACTATGAACTTAATTTTATGGTATCCCTTAACTACACATAAGGACTATAAACTGTAGTTGAGAGGTGTAGCTCCGTATCATTTCGGAAGGCTGTTCGGAAGAATGGCAATGTCACTCATCTAATGAAAGGTGGTTGGTTTCAGTCTGAAGTACAATTTTAGGATCAATTTTATGACATTTGATGTTGGACATGAATGCGCAGTGTCAAACTGCCATTTTGTGGAAAAAGCATCAGTGATTTTTAGACTTTGTGACAATGAAAATCGGTTACCACATTATGCAGGGTAGGGGACACCATCATGCGGTTATTTTTTACATTCCTTTCAGAACAGATCCACGTTGATCCTGTTTCTAAGGCATAAAATTACTTAACGCAGACGCACTCAAACATCAACAAACAGCTGTCAATCTTAATAATGAGCCCCAACCTGTGATCGAGGCCAGCAAGGATGGAGTGAAGCTACAGGGTGATGAACAACAAAAGTGGTTCATTGGCTTACCGTAAAATACCTCACAGCCACACCCAATGAAAACATTCTACTTCTATGCCAAGCTGTATTCCTACGCAACATCTCTACTCCCTTGACTAATGTATTGTTGGGTGCCACTTAAATAATCTACGGTTGTTAGAAGAATGCGTGAGGCCATTCCTTAACAATTTTGGCGGGAACTTCAATATTTACTTATTCGCCTGTCAAATGAGGGCAGCGCTTATCCAAAGCACTAATAAGTGACGCGTAATCGGACTACAAACTTCGGGACTTACCTCGGCCTCTCGCCAGACGCTTTCGCATTCACGTTTTGATGCCAATGGTCCAATGTAAATGTACAGTCCATCTGCAGTGTCAATAAAATTCACGTCGGTTGGATCCAGTCCGTTTCGAGAAATGCGTCTATGGTATACTGGGATCAGCTGCAGCCTCCCATTATCATCAGAAAGCCTGAAACCCCAAAAAACTTTCTTGACGGCCTCGTATTGTAGTTTTCCAGAAAAGCGGTTGATTACCTGTACATGGCTTTGTCAATGCATTTGGAAGCCGTTGGCATGGGGTCCACATCATCGTCACTTAAAACACTCATGAATGGATTCTGGAAGCAAAAATTTTGTGTGTTTTATGCAGTTAATTTATTCACCATAAAGCAAGACTAGTAGCTACGGTAACCGATTAAAACAGAAGTTATTCATTTTTTGAGAGCTCAGTTTGCTATCACGTCAGTCCCATCACAGTTGACTGCACGTAATTTCGGTTTGACCACACAATCAGTTTAAGAGCAAAAAACACTAACTCGAGTCGATGGATCACTTAGCTTTTGCGCACCTCTAACTCACATCAAAGTTTCATTCTGCCGGTTCCATAACTCTTCAACTCTGAACAAGCTTGTTTTGTAGCATAATTAGCTGTTTATGAGCATAAGTGACAGGTCAATCACTTACCATTCCCAAAAGATCTTCTTCGTCGTAAAATTCTCTTGTCAGCCTTCCTTTGCGACGTCTCAGAAAATTCTCAATGTGAGAACTTGCCTAGTAAGGTTTAAAATGAACACAGAACCCTTTCAAGGTCCCAATTATTACTACAAACGTATTTTTAATGTAACGGAAGTAATGCTACACTTATGCATGGTATCATCTTGCCAATTAGAGTTGATGACAGCCACCATAAAACCAAGTCTTAAATACTACAAAAGCCATTGTGCTGTCCACCTTTTATAATCGCTGGTTTTCTTGACAGGGACAGACAAACTAAGTAAGTGGAAAAAAAGGGATCAGCACTTGAGTGTACCAACACTAATGGATACAAAAGTGAAATATGAGCTTTTGTCAAAGATTGCATTTAGAGACATTTGTCACTGTGGCTCACAGTCGACGCCAAAAAAACAACCTTTTAAGTCAAAGAGGAGAGAAGATATTTCACCTAATCACAGTAGCTCTGTACCACCAAAATCGTATTTTACAGTCGAAGAAAAATGGGTCTATCTTATAAATAACTTATTTGCCTTAGATTTTACCATTACAGTATCCAGTTTTTTGCGGTCTGCCGAGCACCTTAAATTGCTCTGTAAAGTCGCATAAGTCGAAAGTTTTTACTGCCATGCGGTGTCGTTTAAGTGCGTTAAAAGTGTCTCCTGAATACTAAAGTTGATTGTTGCCAACGTTGGTGCTTTCTAATCGACTTCAGCATTCAACTTGGTTAACACGCAAGGACCACTCGGCAGTCTCGCTTGAGACGCGTGTTTCCCCACCACCAACTATTTGGCGTTGGCACTTGAACTTAACTGTGATCGCTTAGAAAAACCTCTCCATCTGGATGGTACGAGGGGCCTTTTTGAAAAAAAAGCGCTTCCTGCACGCAAAAACTTGTGCTCTTGATTTCGCCCTACGGAAGTTGCATTTGGTCCTTTGTCAGATTATTTTTTGTCCCACCTTTCTATGGCGTAAAGACTTTAGGAAGATACCTTAGTTAAATCTTTTGTCTTGGGAGGGTCTTTGTGGTAATAGAAATTGCTCAAAAATAGCGTATTGTATGAACAGCTCTTATCAATGTCGAAAAGTGGTTGACATTTCTAACGTACGCCTATACGATCCTTCTCACTGCAAAAGCTGCCGTTCCACTGAAGCATGGATAAACCTTTGTCAAGAACATAGACGTAATGACTTTGAAGAGCCTTCTTTGACAGGGGCACCTCCCTTAGTTCGCCTTTATTTTGATTCGATTGAAACTTGAGAAGGCGTGGTTTGTATTTCTTGGGTTCGTTTTCATCGAATGCCGTTTCAATTCCACCACGAAGGACGCTTGAAGTCAAAGGGTTAGAAGAGAGCACCAAAACAACTTACATGAAGGTTTTAAAGTAGCTCTTCAGAAGTGAGGATTCGAAGTATTCAATTTCTTTGTGGTAGACGACTTGATCGTATAGCAGCGCGGACAATTCCATCACCTTCCGAGGAGGCTCAGGATCAATTTTCTAAAGTGCAGTTTAATGACATAGCGGAGTTACAAATGCATAAGCCCTGGAAAAATAACCTTTTCGAATTGATAGTCTTACGAAGGCGGATGTGTGGTTACTGTGCCCTATTAAAATCTCTCATCTATCGCATAGGACTGCGTATTCTAGACCAAATTGCTGTCACTGCAAACCCGTAATCGACAAAACTCACGTTGACTAGCCTGTAGGGAATCCAAAAATGGAGATCGTAGCAAATTTTGCGTTGTTTATTAGCCGCCTTTAGCACAATATAGATGGCGTCATTATAGAAGATTCCATGATCCTGCACTTCAACAGGTTTAACGTTTGTACCCTGCAGTTGTAAAAGTGCTACTGAAACACGAGATGGACAAACCTCCAGCCGCCAGATCATCAATTGCTCCTTGTCCACCCTTTTCACAGGTTCCCATGCTACTTCATCCTCTGCTTTTTCACCTTGTTACAACAAATATGTTCATAACTAATGAGTAGCTATTCAGCATATATAAAGTGATAGTATTAATAATGCTTAAAAGCTTCAACTTTTTCCTACAAAATTAGGCATGACCTCAAGTGTACTTCTAACAGGGCAAAGTTTCTTCTTCACTCTTAAATACGTGCACAAGCAATGCAATCTTGGCGCACAACATGAGCATTTCCTAGCAGTTACGGCATTTGACGTGGAGCAGATTTATACGGAAAAGGTAAAGTCAAGGTATTATCAACAAAGCAAAACCTTATCAATGGACAAAGGTGTCACTTACGTCTCTCTTTAAGATCCTTATTGTTCTGATATCCATTGTCCCCATCTGCAAATGTCGAAAAATGTGCCTTACAGTTTACTTTGTCTTGCAAAATAAGACGCCTTTTCCACTCTTTCCTGTGCTAGGAGACAATACTTTAGGAGGAGGGTGTAGACGGAATACGTCTGCCGATAGCTGAATGGTGTTAACACTGCACACACCTACCACTATTTTGTTTATTCCTTGCCCTCATAATTTACATTTGCGGTTACATGGGAAATGTATTTGTCGTAGGATTTAATTGGCGCGTAAGCTTACCTACCTCTAGTGGGGATTACACTTGACCCCAAGGGGTCAACTTTTAAGCCATTAACTTTGCTCGATGTAATCACAATCCAAAGGCCAGCCTCAGTCGAGGTCTAGTGCTTCCTAATTCAGAGCAAAATTACAAGTAGCGTTCAAAAATATATGATCTGGAGTTTCACACTACACCGATTCTGTTGAATCCAAAATAACAATCAGAGGATTCAGCTGGCAAACATCAGTATGAGGAACCTGGTTGTCCAAACAGTGCCTCATTGCATGCAGAGGATGACTTTAACTAAACCGTTTTGACGTCGCAGAATGAAAATCACCGTCTTAGAATGTTGTCTGTAGCGTACCACAACAAATACAACTATTTATTCGGTTTAAGTAATTTTGAGAAAACATAGTGCATTCGCCCTTCCTTAACATTCGAATGCTGCAGCGATGGCTTCGGCCATTTTGAATCTTACGGTTTCCCTTTAAGTGGGCTGCATGGCGCCCACTTGTGCCTTGGAACTCTGGGCTCTGACCGCGCTTCACGCCACATGGGTAATGAAGCTCACTCCTTCACATTTGTGACATGCATCTTCAAGTAATAACGCCTTCACTTTATTGTTTGTGCAAGTTAAAGCTAATTTTGGAGCCAATGTTTATTTGAACGAAAAGTGCGTCCATTGTCACAAGTTGGCCCTGTTGGATGTCCGAGCTTAGGGTGCATCCAACAGTTGATCGTCTGCAGTTTTTATCAACATCCATGAAAAGTAGCATCATTTGCATTCTGGCGGACATTAAACGAATGGGTTGTTTGATTTCGTGCCTACAACAGCGTTATTCTGGCATCAATTGCAGGAATGAAATTCACTTGTATGACTTTGTTCCACAAATCCATAAAGTATTAACCATAAAAACCTCTTGCACACACGCTCAAGCACATCACAACCTATCGCAGTAGGTTTTGAACAATGCAAGAGGCTGGTGCTTCGCATTTCCTCTAAGAACTTTGATAAAATACGACCAATACCTAACCTTCTCAGGAGTTACAACACTCAATTCATTTTCTGCTAAGACCAGCTTGCACGGCTGATTTCACAGGTAAATTAAGTTGGACCTTAAGCAGCAGCTCCACAATTAACCAGAATAGTGCATCTCCCTTTTTTTTTGCAAAAGGACATTTGAGAGTGTTGGCAGTAGCAAAGAAATTACCGAATTTTGGTTTTATCTTGGTTGCATGATTTTCTTTGTCATAGCTCCCAAATTAATCATAAATTGCCCCTGAGGACTTCTCCACCACAATTAAATGAAAAGACCTACGACATTTTCAGGCTTAATGTCGAATGCCAGTTCCTGCTTAACTCTGATATTATAAATCACATTAACTTAGTGCATACCTCCTTGCAAAATTCTGTTGAGCAAATGCTATGGGCAAGGATCTCAAATCCCCAGCACGGATTGCGCTGGGATATTATAAAAAATGCAACAATTAAAGGAGACGATAATTTAAAAAAACAGCTAAAGGTAATCAGGATTTCCGACAAACTCTGGTTAAGATAAGTCGGGATTATTTGCCCAGTATTAAACACAACCGAAAGTTACCACCGAATTTGGAAGAGGTGCCACAGATAGGACCCACATGGGCTGTATATTTTGGCAACGAAAGCATCCTTGTCTCACTCCGTGGAAGTATAACACTCAGTTATTTTGCAAAACAATAATTTTAAGGAACAGGGAAAGAGAACTGGCATGCACTTACAATAATAGTCGCGGTCGACGTCGCTGCTGTCATGGTCATCGGACCTGAAGGAGGAGCGCTTGAAGATGGACATGTTATCGCAGACTTGCCGCAAAGAGAAGTGAACTTCATCAACCTGTGCAACTCTGTACCAGCAGCATTGGTCACTTCCGTTTCAGCCACCCTTACCACTACCACTGACCTTACACGAAATGCGGGCTGTTTTGGTGACCAGCCCATATGCACCCTAACAATGAGAAAACTTCTGAAGGTGAGAGAGTTTTCTATGCTCCGTGCAAAAGCAAAAGGAGTTCAAGGCTAGCCTCTCATACGAAATTCATCATTTAAATTAGGTGAATTTAAAAATGCTTAAAATTCACAAAGAATGTAAGCCAGCATGTGGAGTCACTGGACATGCTTTCTCCTTTGAGGGGAGAGAGATGCTTATGAAGCTTCTGTGTATGTTCTTCTTAATTCTTCTCTTCAAGCATTTAGTTCTACCCATGAAAATGCCATGGCATTTTCATGACATTTGTTCTAAACCCTTACTATCCTTTAGTGCATTTGGATTCCAACTAATCTGCTTTTTTGGGCTTTAAAACACTGGTTCTGTGGTCCAAAGTAAACCTTTGACTCCATCCAAAGCTCCTAATTTTATATACAAAGGCATGCACATACGCATGCACACGCATATCCATAGAGGAGGATGTTTTCGTGGTGGTAATACTTTCGCCAATATGCGCCAAGCTGATCCTGCGGCCACCCCGATTAACTGGCACACGCATGCGTGGTATAGCAGTCCAGACATCCTCAATCAAGATAGCTAACAAGCATAGTAGCACATTTTTATACTCGTATATGATGTTTAGTTTCTTGCAAAGGACGTCGTGAAGGCTGAAGACGTTTGTAGGAATCTGAAGTAGCTCAGTGCCGATATCAAGAACACAGCTATCAGTTTCATGACCATTCGCTCAGCCTGTAGTGCGTCTACGCCTTCGTCATCGATGATGAAGCTGCATAGACCTTCATGTCATGGCCCGGCTCTGCTGACAAGTCCTTCTATGCCGTAGCATTCCGTGGATTAGTTGGGTATTGTGAGAAGTACCTTAGTAGCGTAAATTAGTATGGATCGCACTCCTAAGAATGTGCCTGTCTCAGTTATACGCCTACGATTTGTAACTCAACCTAAACGCTTTGTGCAGCTGGTTGAAATACAGTGCCCCATAATCAATTGCCTAAAGTTGACCGAAAGATTCGCAACGTTTAGAAGTTCAATATCAAAATTACCTTTTGGCCTCAATAAGTTTCTCTTTTAAATCGCCTCGCTTTTGAAGATGTGACAAAAAAATTTATTGAATGCAGGAACCTAGCAGCAAGCTTTAAACAAGAACTAAATAAACTTTCAGTGGTAAATCTTGCCTTAATCGCACACTTGAATCGCTCTTTCCTGTTAAGCTACGTTACTTGAATTTGTATTCACGTTTATTTCTCATTTTTCAAGCCCTTTTACACATTCTCGTCCCAAAATTTCTTTTAAAATTTAACAATGAACTACAACTATCCACTCGTCTTCCCTAATCGCGAAGCGCATAGCCACTACCACCTGGTGCATCTGTAACTGAAAGCACCCAGTACGGCAATGGCGAGATTTATTACTTCAGTCTTTTGAAAGACTTTGTTTGGCTATGCTTATGCTACTTATGTGCGCCAGTAGCACAAGTTGATGCCTCA